CCCCAAAACCCCAAAACCCCAAAACCCCAAAACCCCAGCATCTGTGACAGCTATTGAAACTTAAGAATTTATCTTCCTCCATAAATATTAACATTACCGTATCCACAGTTCTCCAAGATCTCCTTTATTTCTTCCTTCTTCATTCCACAGCCAGTCATATTCACCCTCTCCAAGTTTTCCCTGACAGTGTCAACCTGGGCAAGCCCAGCCATCAAGTTGCTGAAGCACGAGTTGTCCTTCCCCCAGTCTCCATGAGCGCTATCTCCTGAGTAGTAGAAATTTAATTCTCGAATGTTGGAGTTGGCCATGGAGTCTGGGAAGGAAGGCACAGAGGGCATGTGTAGAATGCAGGAGCCGAAGCCAAAGCGTGTGACCTTGTGAAAGGCAGCGAGGAGGGCGATGGTTTGGGGCTGGGAGATCTTAAAATTCCAAAGTTCAACCCTCTCTGTCACACAAGGAGCAGCAGCCAGCAAGGCAGAGTGGTACAGGGAGATGCTCCCCAGAGCAGAAGCAATATTAAAGCTAAACTCTCTTACTGTTTTGGGGAAATACTTGGCAACACAATGTCTTGCCTCTTGACTCTCTCTAGGAATCTTCCTAATCCTCAATCTTTCTAAATCAGGAAGTCTTTTGTCAAGCCCCGTGACCACATTCATATCTCCTGGGCTGTCCATTCATAGCCAGAGCTCAGTAACTGGTCTAAAAGGCCTCTGTCAGCCCTGTTGAAGCCAATAGTAGTAGTCGAAGTCTGTGGAAGAGAAGTGGAGTCTGTCCAAAGCGGGTTTGGGCTGGGCGGGTTGTTGCAGTGAAGAAGCATTACCTTCAAGACTAAATGCTAGCCACCACCTCTTCTTTGAGAAGTCTCCAATAGGATTCATCCTTAAACTTAGCAAAGATGTCTTGGTTGCTCATCTCCTTCTTCAGCAGATTGATTTCTTTGTCAAGGTCTTCAAGTTCTTGGAGTCTCCCTTCATCTCCAATGTTGTTGGCCTTAAGTTTAAGTTGGACAAGTTGGTGTCCCCACTGTTGATGGAGCTCTTGGATATCTCCTTCGTATCTTTGGCAATCTTGGGTGTAAGTAAAGAAGTTCTCCAGCGCCTTTGAGACAATACTTGCCTTAATTTTGAAGCTCCCCACGGTAGGCTTTGTCTGGCCTTCACTCTCCAGTGATTTTAGGTAGAATGGGTCCTCTTGGAGAGATTCTTTTGACTCTTCAGCACCTCCAGCACCATCAGAAGATATATATTTGGATGCGATATTTTGTTTGCTTTCCATATTTATTGATTATTAAAATATCGCAACCAATATATAATCATTTCAATCCATGAATCACTCCGTGGGGTTTTGGGGTTTTGGGGTTTTGGGGTTTTGGGG